GAAACAATAAATAAATGGGACCTACTGAAACTGAGAAGCTTCTGTAAAGCAAAGGACACTGCCAGTAAGACAAAAAGGCTACCTTCTGACTGGGAAAAGATCTTCACAAACCCTGCAACAGATAAAGGTCTGATCTCCAAAATATACAAAGAACTCAAGAAACTAGACACTAAAACTCTAATTAACCCAATTAAAAAATGGGGTACTGAACTGAACAGAGAATTCACAACAGATGAACTTCGAATGGCCAGAAGACACTTAAGGTCATGCTCAACCTCCTTAGCGATCAGGGAAATGCAAATCAAAACCACTTTGAGATACCATCTTACACCTGTCAGAATAGCTAAAGTTAAAAACACCAATGATAACCTATGCTGGAGGGGATGTGGAATGAGGGGAACACTCATCCATTGTTGGTGGGAATGCAAACTTGTGCAGCCACTTTGGAAATAAGTGTGGAGGTTTCTCAGAAAACTGGGAGTCAACCTCCCTCAGGACCCAGCAATTCCTCTCTTGGGAATATACCCTAGAGATGCCCAAACATACTACAAAAGCGTTTGTTCAACTATGTTCATAGCAGCACTATTTGTAATAGCCAGAACCTGGAAACAGCCTAGGTGCCCCTCAATAGAAGAATGGTTAAAAAAGGTGTGGAACATATACACATTAGAGTTTTACTCAGCGGTAAAAAATAATGACATCTTGAATTTTGCATGCAAATGGATGGACATAGAAAACGCTTTACTGAGTGAGGTAAGCCAGACCCAAAAAGAGGAACACGGTATGTATTCACTCATAAGTGGATTCTAACCATAATTAAAGGTTTTTGAGCCTATTATTCGTGATCCTAGAGAAGCTAAATAAGAAGACGAACCTGATGAAGATTATTTACCTATCCGCCAGGAGGTAGGAAATAGTCAAGAGTCCCAGGTAACCTTGGGTGCATGGGGGGGGGTGGTAGGGTTGATGGAAGGGGAGAGGGTTAGAGAGAAGGGAGTAGGGGAGGAATGGAGAAAGCTCGGTTGACCGGGATGGGGGGAACGGAGGAAGGATGAATGTGGGATCAGGGAAGAATATATTTCAACTAAGGGAATCATTTTAGGGTTTACAAGAGACTTGATTATAAAGGGGATCCCCGGTCCAAGGAGAGATCCCCAGATGGTTCTCTGGACAGAGGAGAGGGTGCCTGAACCGGCCTTGGCCCACAACCATACTGATGAATATTTTGCATATCACCATAGTACCCTCATCTCGCGATGGATGGAGATGGAGGCAGAGAACCACGTTGGAACACTGGACCTAGCTCCCTAGGTCCAAATAAGAGGCAGAAGGAAAGAGAAAGTGAGCAAAGAAGGCAAGGGCAGAGGAAACCTTCATCCGACGTTGGATGGCGATACAGATGGAGACCCATATTGGAACACCGAACTGAGCACTCCACGGTCCAAATGAGGAACAGAAAGATGAAGAAAATAAAAAAAGTAATCAGGACTGCGAGGGATGCGAGCACCCACTGATACAAGGGAACTGATATAATGAGAGTTCACCAAGGCCTGTTGGACTGGGACTGAACGAGGTCGTGATCCAACCAGATTCTCTGAATGTGGCTGGCCCGGAGCCTTTTTGAAAAGCCATTGACAATGACACTGGGACTTGCTTCCTCTGCATATACTGGATTTTGGCGCTCCAGTCTGTTTGGACTCTCACCTTTCCTGGACCTGGAGGGAGGGGGGAGGAACCTGAACTTCCCACAGGGCAGGAAACCCTGACTGCTCTAGGGGATGGAGAGGGAGGAGGAGAGGGAGTAGGGGGAGAGGGAGGGTGTTGGGAGGAGGGGCTGAAATGGAAACTTTTATAATTTAATAAAAAAATAAAAAAAAGAAATTCAAGTATTTTAAAAGGAAATTGAAGAAGATACCAGAAGATAGAAAGATCTCCTATGTTCATGATTATGTATAACTACCATGGAAAAAAAAGGTAATCCTACCAAAATGAACCAACAATTCAAAGCAATCCCCATCAAAATTCCAACACAACTTTTTATAGACATTGAAATGACAGCAATATTATAAGGAAAAACAGAAATCCTGGTACAGCCAATGCAATCAGGAGCATTAAAAGAACTTTCTCAGCTATCACCATCCCTGATTTCATGGTCTACTACAGAGGAATAACAGTAAAAACTGCATGGCATTGTCATAAAAGCAGACACATCAATCAATGCGATCATATTTAGAGCACAAACAAATATACACATACCTATAGATACCTGATTTTTGACAAAGAAATCAGAAATTCTCAAAGGAATTCTCAAAGGAAAGCTGAAAGTTAGTCAGAGCCTAACTGAATGTTTGCATGTCGAGGAGTGCAAACAGATCCATATTTTCACCTTTAGCAAAACTCAAGTCTACATGGATCAAAGATCTAAACAGAAAACCAGACATACTTAACTGAAAGAAGAGAAAGTGAGAAATATCTTTAAAAACATTGACACAGGAGACAACATTCTAAACAATATCTCAATACCAAAATAACTGAGATGAACAGTTAGTAATGGGGACCTTGTTAAACTGAATAGTGTCTAATAGTCAAAGAACACCATTGATAGAATGAAATAACAGCCTAGAAAATGGGAAAAAATTTTCACCAAATTAATTTTCAACAAAGAGTTAATATCAAAAATATAGAAAGAACTCAAGAATTAGGTGCCAATACACTAAATAATCCAATTTAAAAATGGGGTGAATATTTAAACAGAGAATTCTCATAAAAGGAATTTCAAGAAACTGAGAATTACTTAAATGTTCAAATTCCTTAGCCATTAGAGAAATGCAAATCAAAACTATTTTGAGATTCTATCTTAATACTTATCAGAATGGCTAAGATCAAAAGCACAAGTGATAGCTCCTCTGGTGATGATGTTGCAAAAGGGCAGCTCTCATTCGTTGCTGGTGTGAACAAAAATTTGTAAAGACACTATGGAAATCAATATGCCAGTTTCTCAGAAAACTGGATATCAGTCTACCTCAAAACCCAGCTCTATCACTATTTGACATATACCCAAAAGACTCTCTATCCTGCCACAAGGATATTTGCTCAACTAAGTTCAGAGCAGCTTTATTTATAACAGTGAGAAACTAGAAACAACCTAGTTGCCCCTCAATCAAAGAATGAAGAGAATGAAATGCATTTACATGATTAATTATTATTATTACTATTATTATTATTATTTGTTAAGAAGTCATCCTAACTGGGGCAAACCAACCCAGAACAGAAAACCTGATATGTCTTCCATCAAGCAGATATTACCTCTTAAATAATCATACTACAGATCCAGAGAGTCTAAGTAACAAGGAGGGCTCTATGGGATACTCATACATATCTCCGAGCAGGGGAAATAAAATTAATTTCTGGGATGACTGGTACAAGTGAAAATGGGAACAGGATAAATCAGTTGGGGGAGAGAGGGACAGAGAGAATACAGAGAACATCAACTAGAATTTAGTAACATTTGAGGGGGGATGTGAAATTCAAGGGTAGTGGAAACTTTTTGGAAACTCGGAGGGTAACATAGCAAGTATTCTTAGTATGGAGGAGAAGAAGTTTTAACTGGCAATCTTTTGTAACCAGGCAAGGCTTTCAGGGGTGGGACTGGGACACCGATTTAGGCACAAAACCTTTGACCTGCAACCTGTCTTGCCTGCAAGATACGTTGGGGGAATGATTGCATAGAAATTGTGGTAGCTGTCAACCCATAACTGGATTAACATTAACTTGAGATCAATGCCATGAGTTCAAGCCCATGCCTGACGCTACTTCTGTTGTCAGCAACCAGAAGCTGAATGGCTAAGAGACTTAGGGTAGAGTGAAACATGACTGGGGGAAAATAGTCAATGAAATGATTCCTAATGTTGTTCTACTATTTGTACTCACAAATCAGAGCCTAGTTCGATTTTCAACAAAGAGGCTTACCAGAAGCTGATGGAAGCAGATGCAGACACCAACAGACAAACATTGGGTAGAACTTGGGAACCCTGAGGATAAAGGCCAAGGAAGAATTGTAGGAGCCAGAAAGGTTGATGACATTGGAAGAACAGAGCCCATGGAATCAACTAAGTAGGGCTCATATAGCCTACATGGTTCTGTGCCAAGTCCTCTGCATATATATTCCGGGATGTTTAGCTTGGGGCTTTTGTGGTGCTTTTAACAGTCAGAGTGGGGCCATCTCTGACACCTTTCCCTATTCTTTGAATCGTTTTCCTCCTAATGGCTTGTCTTGTCCATTCTTGATATGATGGTTTTTGCCTAGTCTTATTGTATCTTATTATACAGTGTTCAATTGATATTTCTGGGAGGACTGCTCTTTTCTGAAGAGAAAGGATGAGCAATGCATCTGCGGACAGGGGATGGGAGTAACTGGGAGGAGTGGAGGGAGGGGAAGCCGTGGTTGAGATGAGAGAAGAAAAAAATAATACTTGTAGACTATATTCAAAACATATTCAAAAATTTGTTCACTAAATCAAGTGTTTATCATTTCAGGGATGTAGGATGATTCAGCATACATAAATCAGTAAACATAATCAATCACAAAAGAAGTGATTCAAGAACAAAAATCACCCATTTCACTTGATTAAAATAAGACTTTGACAAATTCAAAATGTTTTTATTATCAAAATTTAATTTAAGTCATGCTGTGGTGGTCCATTCCTTTAATCCCAAAACTCAGGAGGCAGAGGCAGACAAGTCTTCGAGTCTGAGGCCAGCTTGGACTACATAATGAATTCCAGGAGAGCCAGGGATACATGTGAAAATCATGTCTTGAAAAACAAAACAATAAAATTTACTTCAAAACTAGTTTGTTACAGTAAAGTTTGTTAGGTAAGTTTGTTACTTACCTAAGGTAAGCTTAATATTTACTATTCAAAATTCAAAACGCTAGACTACTATTATGTTGATGCTCCTCTTAAGAAACTTTAACTTTGCCTTCCTGTCGCAGCCACCATCGGAGAGGAGCAGCCATGGCCCTGTGCTACCCCATGGCCGTGGGCCTCAACAAGGGCCACAAGGTGACGAAGAACGTGAGGCAGCCGAGGCACAGCCGGCGGCGCGGGCGCCTCACAAAGCACACCAAGTTCTTGCGGGACATGATCCGGGAGGTGTGCGGCTTCACGCCCTACGAGCAGTGCGCCATGGAGCTGCTCAAGGTGTCCAAGGACAAGCACGCGCTCAAGTTCATCAAGTTCATCAAGAAGCGGGTAGGCACGCACATACGCGCCAAGAGGAAGCGGGGGGGGCTCAGCAACGGGGGGGCGCGCCCACGAAGGACTGTTCCCCCCCCCCCCCCCCCCCGTTCCCAATAAACGTTGCTGTGGCGCAAAAAAAAAAGAAACTTTAACTTCACATGATATTATTCCTACATAACTTACTCATGTGTACTCATGTGAATTCCCAGTTTACTTGAATGGCTTGAACACATTAAAGTCAAAGCTGTCAAATTTTGCCTATACATATCATCTGATACATTTCTTCCCAGCTATTTTCTTGACATATCCTTTTATAGCAAATCAACAATCCCATAGTTGCTTTTGAGAAGATCCTTGGAAGGCACTGAGGAAATGAAAAATATAATAACAAGGAAAGAAGGAAACTTCCTAAAATGAATTTATATGAATATTTTATTTAACAATTGGACAAGAGATGATGTGTACTCATTTATTAAAAAGCTTATAAGAAAATGATGAAGCAGTCATCCCAAGACACAGGATAATGCTTATGTTGAGTTCTTTTGGATGTGACAAGCATCTTTTAAATTTAACAACTTTCACATGGGCTTCGACAATGTTCTCTTTTTTGTCATTTTGTATAATATGGTAATGCCTCAAGACAGGACTCTAAATATTTAATAACCTATTGTTTGTAACTAAGAAAGTTCCTTTCTTTAAGATTTTATTTGAACCTAAAGTTGAAGGTTTACTTCATATTTTAAATCTCAAACTAACCTCATTCATGGATACACATGCATACAAACACACCATACACACTGGTATATATGTATATGTATATATATATATATATATATGATTAATTAATTAATCTAGTAAGATATGTTCTCATGTTTTCAATGTTTTATTCTATTAATTAATTTATTTTATATTCCTCTGCTTTGTTTGCATGCAAATGTGTGCATCATAAGCACAATCATAAGGGTTACAAGAAGGTGTCTCACTCCAAGAAGTGGAGTTTCAGACTTTTGTGGGCTAATATTTGGGCTCTTGTAACTGAACCATGGTTTCTGAAAGAATAACCTGTACTTTTGGTGGCTAAACCATCTCTCACGTCCTTGTTCTCATGTTTACGGAAATGAATTTTCCTGGGTTTGTAACTGTGTGAAAAGTCATGAACGTCAAGGGCAACTATAGACTTGGAGTTGCCAATTGTTTTAATTAACTTCTTAGGAAAATATGACACTTAGTATAAAGAAAAATAGAATTGCACGAATAATAAGGAGAGACAAAAATCAATTTCTTATGTAAATCAGCAAATAAAAATCAACTCAAGTTTTATTTTCTCAGCATATGCAAAAATCTTATTCAAGTGTAGGGATCCTGAACTGGCAGTGTGAATGAAGACAGCCAGGACTAGATGGGAAAGATGTTTCATCATTCCTCACCATACCTCTAGAAAAAGACACTATGAAATGTAAAAAAATGGACCCTCAGACCTTTCATTTTCCATGCCATCCTTGATATTTTTGTTAGCATATCTTTCCAATAATTGTATTTGTATTTCTAATTGTCTTTCCTAATTTAAAAGCTATTCATATATAGAAACACCCTAACTTTCTATTGGCGTAAGTATGCATATCTGTGTTCTTCCGCCTTTATGTTGCCCAAGTAAAAAGTGTAGGATACTACCTAAGAACTCATAATTTAGGCTGCCAATTGTCTCTTCTATCTCTCTATTAACAAAATATTTATATCATGGTTACCTAAATTTTTTTTCCTTCTAAACCAAGGTAGATATGTATAAACAACAAATATCCTGTGAAATTCAATTGATTAGTATATAATACAAATGAACATAATAACAAATAAATGACCATGAACTATTATTTGAATTTCCAGAGTTTAGCACCATGGTGAGATAAGTCAAGATCACTGAAATATACATGGCAGAAACATCAATAATGACATCCTCAGACACAAATGATCAGCATCTTGGTATTTAAATAATGAAGTATAAAGCTGATTGTTTTAAAAGTTAAAGATTTTAAAGCGTGAGTACCATTAAGGAAAAACAATTCTATTTTTGCAGTGTGTTTTAGAGACTTTCCTTTCAAATTCTTAATTGAAAGTCAAGATACTTTGATAGAAATTTAAATGTTTGGTATATTCTAGGTATATGAAAGACCATGAATTGCTCATAGACAGATGTTTCAACTTGAAAAGAGAATTTCTACTGATCACAGAGATTTGGGCTCTGTGATTTGGAAATCAGTTTAGGTTACCATATCCAGATGTGAAAGACCATTGATGAAGATTCTTTGGCCAAAATTCACATAGGAATCTAATCAACTCTCTAGTTTAACAACTCTCTTGCAAATCCTCTTCTATGGCTTTTATTTCCCATGTCAACCCTGGGAGAAGATTAAATCTGTCTAACTGAAATGCATGTACGTTTTACAAACCTCACATAAAGTTTATTAGATGGGTTAAATTATGTTTGATTTTGCAGTGTGACAAATTTCCCTGAAGAAAATTATTTTCTGTGAATGTTTTATGCTCTATTGACTTTCAATCACTTGTACTTTTATATTTAAATTTCAGATCAGGAAAACTCAATAAAACACTAGAAAAATACTCCTGATTCCAGCTTTACCTTTACACGTAATATGGAATAAAAAAGATATGTTTTCTATTTTCATATAGACGAAAATCCCCCCAAATATCTCATAATTCCCAGTACAGTGAAATTCAGTTTGAGTCAAATATTATAAAAAGCATATCATTCTGACTCCATAATCTAATTCAACGGACACCTAACTCATAGCTTTTAAGGAAGTAAATGAAATGAGATTCAGGCACTAAAGTTTATCAAACACTTTTTGTTAATATTAGTAGTTACTGAATATCTGTCTATGTTACATAGTGACTCTCTGTCTTAATTTCTTATCTGCAGTTGGTGCAATAACTAATGAGCAATATTTTCAGAGGTGATGACATTTAAAACATTTAAGGACTCCTTATGAATCTGGTATGTTAGAAAATAATATACAAACAGAGCAGATTTAATAAAACAGTTCAAGTTCTTTTCAGGTACATAATTAGCCCTCTGTAGGAAATGTGAAGAAATTCCAAATTTTTACTGAACATCATGATAAGTCTTGCACTATTTCATAAAGGACAGTATAATAAAATATTTGTGTTTCTAAAAGAAACTATAAGAAGACTAAAATGTTCTCATTTTAATAATTATGTGAGTACTTTCTCTTACTTGCCACCACCCGAGTCAGCCTCTCTCTGGGAACCTGATGACATGCTGGCCAAGGAATCAGAAAGTGATTTCCATTCTCCTTCACACCCTCCAATTCTAATTCTCCAGAATTATCCTTAGCTTTTTAAAGGACCAACTGCAGCAGCCTATAAACTCTTTCTTTTCCTACTGTCAGAGAACTAAGAAAATCCTCTTCTATAGCTTTAATTCCTCATGTCATTTCATTGGCTCACCCACCAATGTTTAGACACTCTCTTCTTGGAAACTCACTGGTCACAAAAGCCAGGAAACAAAATCTTCATGGCAGACCCAGATTTCCTCCCTCTTATGAACCTTCTCATGCTGACCCCTCCTTTTAGCACATTCCCATTCTACATACAATTTGCAGTACCTAGAAGCTAGATCTCCCCAGGATCTTCAGTGCCAAACATGTAGGGACACAGAAGATCTCTCTACCAAGCAATTCATAGTCACAACATGAGCTTAAGGTCCATAGAGGTCAACATAAAACAAGAAATGAAAAACACAGCTAGCTAAGACAATAAAAGACACCAACACCTAGAATTACAATCCAAAAGCCCAGATGACTTGATACCAGAGCAGGAATGTGATCAGTAGCACCCAGGACAATATATCTCTACTAAAGTCCAGTAACCCTACTAAAATAGTCCCTGAGAAATATAGTATATAGAAAATGCACAAGATAAGGAGTCAATCATCTATTAAGAATATAACCAAGGACATGTAAAACATATGAATAAATACATAACTAAAATTTATGAACACCCAAACAAACATTGGGATGAAATGAAGAAAACAGTTTAAGGCATGAACGTCAAAACAGAATCAACAAAGAAACTCTCAACACAGGGAAAACTGGAAATGTAAAACTTAAGAACTAGAACAGAAATGCCAGAGGCAAGCCTTTCCAAAAGAGTATAAGAGATGGAGGAAAGTATCTCAGGTACTGAAGACAAAAAAGAAGTGGATACTGTGGTCACAAAAATGACAAATGTAAAATAATCCAAGCACCGAAAAATCCAGGAAATCTGGGACACTATGATAAAATCTGTGAATAATAAGGATAGGAAAAGGAGATGAAATCCAGCTGAAAATCACAGAAAATATGTTCAACAAAATCAAAGAAGATAATTTCCCTAACCTAAAGATGGAGCTATCTATTGAGGTACAAGTAGCATACAGAATAATAAATAGGAGAGAGCAGAAAAGAAAACAAAGTTCCCCATGATAAATAATAATCAAAACACTAAATGTACATTAGAAAGAATATTAGTGGGTGTAAAAGAAAAAGACCATGGTAATTATCTAGTAGGTAATTAAAACCTAATAGAACACCTGGATTATCAAGAGGGACTCTTAAAGTCAGATGGTCTGTACAGAGTTTGTAAAAACTCTAAGAGATCAGTGATGCTAGCACAGAGTACTATACCCAGCAGAACTTTCAATTAAAATAAATATCCCACAATAAAACCAAATGTAAGCAGTATCTATCTACAGACAGCTCTACAAAATATAAGAATAAATGAAGAAGCCTACCATACCAAATAAAACACAAGGAACAAATTACTTCACAAGCAAAAAAAGAGAGGGTGAAATACCAACCAAAATAATAGGAATCAACAAATACTGCTCACTGATAATATTCAATATCAATGGTCTAAATTCCCTAATAAAATTACAAAGACTAACAGATTGCATATTAAAACAGGATCCATCCTTTTGATGAATTAAAGATGCACAACTTAATATGGATAAACAACATATTAGGTATAGGGAAAACAAGTTACTCCGAGCAAAAGGACCCAGTAAATAATCCAGTTTAATATTTTAGTATCTGACTAAACAG